GGGAAAACCACCACCAAAACATTAGGTTTTTTGCATCCTGTATTTAATTTTGTCTCTCCCAGTATATTCTTGCTGTCTAACAAAAACACTCTGCCCATCTTTTGCTGTCGAGGACTGTTTACCCTGCGTGAAGATGCTTCAATATGCAGTCATGTCATAATTAATTTTCTTTTGAGTATGGCTGTGTATGTATCTAGTATAGAAGTCAGTTCTGAATCAACAGATGTTCAGCCAGACATGGTTTTCTCATTCCTCTCTCACTCCCATAGGCGTGTGTACATATCCTACCTAGATAGTATCCACTTCTTCCGCCCCCGCTGTCTCCGAACTGCAGTTTATCATGAAATCCTCATTGGATACCTGGAGTATGTGAAGAAACTTGGGTAAGTGAGATCTTTGCAAAGGAGAAGAAAAAAAATAAATCTTAGCATTTCTTTTTTCTCCAGGATGCCAAATAGCTTCTCACCTGGGACAGCTCTTCTGCCCTTTTTGAGATATGTAGAACACATCAAGCAGAGAGAGGAATTTGGATTTTATCACTAAGGGGTTTTTGCTGCTGTTAGGATTCTTAAAATGACAGCATATCATGCTTTATAAGGTTGGACCAGATGATCTTTGAGATCCCTTCCAACCTGGCATTCTGTGATTTTTATCAGAGGTTCCTATGATGTTTAAGCTTCATTATTATATCCTTTTCTCATCTCTTACATAAACAGAGATTATTGCCTCAGCATCTTTGTTACAAAGGAAAAAAAAAAGGAAAAGGAGGAGGAAGAGATCTGAATTTGTATCTTAGTTTATTTTAAGATGGTAGTAAAAATGTTTAAGATTATATTTTTTTTTCCTGTGTATGAAATGCAGGTATGTGACAGGACACATCTGGGCCTGCCCCCCAAGTGAAGGAGATGATTATATTTTTCATTGCCATCCACCTGATCAGAAAATACCCAAACCCAAACGTTTGCAAGAATGGTATAAGAAGATGCTGGACAAAGCATTTGCTGAGAGAATCATTCATGACTACAAGGTTTGTTACTCTTAACTTTCTGAATTAATTTCATGAGCTTTTTATTTGAAGGTAGCACATATTAAGACATGCAACTGTAGTAGTGTTGTACAAGGGTTTTTATTCTCAGCCAGTGTCTTCATTTTCTTAGATTCTTGTCAAGTTTCTGCCTTTCAGACTGAAAATTCCTTACGTTCAGTTTCTGCATGAAGAGGAGTGTGCCTTCCTGTATTTATCTTTCTCTATAATTTTCTAGACAAGGAAGGATGTTCAGGTTTATAGAATTTCGTTGCTTCTGGTCATTCTGGAGGATCAGGTGAAATATTGGACTCCCTTAGTGTGAAATGAAAGAAACTGCTTATAAAACAGCTTCTCCACTTGAATGGAAAAAGGATTATTTTCATCATTGGAGAATATCACAGGTGCACCCAAGGCAGCAATTAAAGATGGCAAAGGTAGCATTTGCCACTCCTGACATACTAACATTTACAAGAATTTCTTAATGGTAGTAACAGTGCTGGAAAGATTTGCTGTTTTGATTGCAAGTGACAGTTATTGAATGTGTGGAACAGAACAGCCTAGAGCAGCCTTGTCATCTGATCCTGCCTAGCAAAGAGCTAGAAATATCTGTCTCTCCTAATAAAGTGGTCATAAAGTTAGTCCAAAGAAGAAAATTGGCACTTCAAAGCCCCTCCAGCACAGCTGTTTAAAATACCTGTTACTTCTTAGAATCTTCTCAGTGGTCCTTTTTGGCCACACAAGCTTCACCAGCAGTGAAGGACACAGGCTGCCCAGAGTTCCCTTTCCACATCAAGGCTTTATTATACCTGTGCAGTAGTTGGTGGGTGTGTGCAGGATTCTTCCTGCAGTTATCAGGCTTATTGCACATACTCTGCCCAGCCCAGCACTAAAGTGCTGTTGCACTTTCACTTTTGTAAGAAAAAGGACTGGATGGGGACACAGGTGCTGTCACTAGAACAGTTCCTGCCCATGTCCAGGAGCAGTGCAGGAAAAATGTGGTGTCTGCTTTGTTGGCTAAGTTACCAGAGAGGGTTTGTTATGGTTTCCAGGGATATCTTGGTCTCTCCCATCATTTCAGGAGCATGAACCAATTGCACAAGGGGGTTCAGGAGAGCCTCAGCAGCTGTCTTGCTAAGATGAACCAGGGAGTCGGTTGTTATCAGTATTGCCAGGCTAGTTTTTGAGCTGCACCCAGAAAAGGAGGCCTGCCAGGAGTGGGCCATGGTGTAAGGGAGGCACAGCTGGTCAGGGCAGCCCTGGATCCCATCTCTGGCCCTGCAGCCCAAGTGGGCTGCAGTTATTGATCCTTGGTATTGTGTGATGCACTTAACAGGACATCTTCAAACAAGCAACTGAGGACAGGCTGACGAGTGCCAAGGAGCTGCCTTACTTTGAAGGTGATTTCTGGCCCAATGTGCTGGAAGAAAGCATCAAGGAGTTGGAGCAGGAGGAGGAGGAGAGGAAAAAGGAAGAAAGCACTGCAGCTAGTGAAACAACAGAGGTGAGTTAACTGCTCCTGGTTCACAAAGCTGACAATTAACACTTTAATAAATTAGAGAGTTCAGATCCAGTAAACCAGAAAAGGTCACTGACATCAGATATCAAATTAGGGCTCCCTCTAACTGCATTTCTGGTTTTCTTGGGTAACAAATATACTGGTGGCTTTTTTTTTTTTCTGTAGCAGAATCAGAAGTCAGTTACGTCAGTTCAGCATCTCTGTTCTCTGAGAAATGTGTTAAGCTACTTTTGGATGGCATCATGCCTGCTACACTTGCAGTCATTTTGCTGAGCTTCTGGTTCACACCTTTGCAAATCACCTTCAGTGTTTGCATTTTGAAAGATGCTGTATTTTTCCAAGCTGACTTAAATGTTGCTGTTATTTAAGCACAGGTACTTGTTATTGTTTGCCACTGTAGGGGGCTGAAATGTAGAAGGATTTATTGCAAGCTTTGCATTGGTGTGAAACGTTGGTCCTGATGCTGCTGTTCCTTCACCAGCATTTTCTCATTGTATATTCAAAAAAATAATTTCTTTTCTTAGGGTCCTGGTCAGAATTTAATTATTACATTTAATTTCTGTCTTGATTGCATGTGTATCCAAATGGTCTCAGCACTTAGGTGCTGTCCCTTTCACTTGTGATTTGCAGCAAGGTGCTTTGAAATAGAGTAAGAAAATGTGAAGTTTAACAGGTTGAGGTGGAACCCAAAACTTTAGCTGAGGAGGGACTGAATTCAGCTTGGATGCCATGGCCCATTTGCATAATATGTGGTTGTGGAGTGATAGAACCTTAATCCATCAAGTTCATGATGTCAGAAAGTTCCTTCTGTTAAACCTTAACAGCTCCTTCATAATATAGCTTCCTCATATAATTTGTTGCTGTGGGTTTTTATGGAACCATAAAGTTAATAGTTTTCACCTTCTGAATGCAACTTTTCAGTATTGAAATATTTCAACAAACATTTCTGAAAGACAAGGCTTGGAATTTCAGTTGTAATCCTCTTTGCCAACAGTATCACCTTCAGTAAATCATAGCATGCCCCTTCAGAGAAAACACCAGGGTAGCCTCAACATCTAAGAGGAGAAAAGAGGTGTTTTAAAAAGTCCAGAACATCTAACTGTGAAATCACAAAGGCTCTCTGCCTGAAGTGAGGACATGCAGCCTCAGCTGGTAACATCCCTACAGTCCCTCCTGATGCCATTGATGCTGCTCGGGGTAGTGGGAACAAAATCTGCATCCAGGTTGCTGAACAAATCACCCAAGAATTCAACAAAAAGCCACAATGTTCTGGTGTCTGCCACTCAGCTGAGAAAAAGGAGTGAAATTAAAAGCTTGAGAACTTCTCCAGTGCAGTCACTAGAACTTGTGTCACTATGGAGGAAGCTCTGCCCAACAGTGGGTGTCTTCACAAGTAGAAGCACTTGAAGAATCTTTACAATTTGTATTGAGATGTTACAGAATGGTCTGTCTCTTCTTAATTTCTTAGTCCTCAACTTTGTTTATATGCAAGGAGAGCTTCCTGTAAGTGAGTATGTGCTGCAGGTATTCTTTAGAAGAGAGTGTAAAGAGGTGGTAAATATTCAGAAGTTCTTGAAGAAGGTTTTGCAGGGTCAAGGCTCACCAAGCAACAGCATCTCTGGCAAACCCGTTACATGCTATCAAAATGAGGTGGTACAGAAACAGTCTTACAGCTTCCTAAAACCTGTTGAAATAGCTTTGTACAATTGACCATGTAGAAACTTGTTAGAGGTGGAGTAGAAAGATAATTTGGAGTTTCACTGTCAGCTGAGTTTCAGCTTTTTCCTCCTTTTGGTGTGTTAAGTTCTAAAATCTGTGTTGATGCTCTAGAATGGTTAAGTGAAGGACATGCCTGGGGGTAGAAAATGTGGGGGAAAGGAGTCAAGATGGGAACATAGTCCATTTCTTAATACCTTTCAATCACTTAGACCTCTGCCTGGTTTCCCATTAAATAGTACAAGTGTCATTTCCAAACAGGTTTGATCAAAAAATCAATAAAATGAATTACAGATAACCCAAGATTGGGTAGGAAAATTCTGTCTGAGCCTCATTAATGGAATGGAAGGATGGCAACACTGTGTAGAGTTGCCTTCTTCAGTTGGAGTATTTTTATTTTCTTTTAAGAAATTTACCTGTGGATAAATCCCCAGTTTGCTTGTACATAGTGTTCATGACACTTTTCTCTCTGTGTGTGTATATATATCAGAATATTTCAGTAACTTCTTGATAATATTATGATAACCAAAGTTCTAGCAGTTAGAGAAGTGGTTTTATTCTGAGTGGTGAGCTCCCTGCTGGGGACTTTGGGGTTTATTTTTGAAGGACATGAGAAGTCTAAAACTCATTTCTGTTTTCACAGGTCATCTAAATACCATCAGCTGCTATTTTTTACTCTCTTGACTTGCATCTAGTGTTCAGTATATGGTCACTGAGGTTTGTGTTGGTGTAACTTAGGCACAAATGAAGGTTTGGGGATATTTTTGGAGTTGAATGTGCAGCAACATGTCTTCAGGTTGGACAATAATATAGATTTTGTTAGTTTCAAATCCTTCAGGTTCATATTTGTGTACTAGCCCTGAATTTGTTCAGTAAAAACAAACAAACAAACCCTTAGATCAAAGCTCCAGCAAGGATGAGAATCCCCAGATGCACAGCGAAGCAAAATGCTGCACTTTGGAATTTTTTTTAAGTCCATTTTATTTGTAACTCATCTTGTCATCAAGTATCTATAAGGTCTTGTAAAGCAAGCAGTGGAAGCTGAAGTACAGGGGGGAAAAAATCAGTGTCAGGATTTATTTAATGTATCTGCATATTTTAAAAATATATTTTTAAACAGTGTTTGAATTTGTTTGCCTGCCAGGTTGGCTTTTGATTTTTCCTGGAAGATGGGATATATTTAACACAGTATGGCTGATTTGCAGGCATTGGAACCAAGTTCTGTTATTGACAGCAGAAGTGTTTTTTAACTTCCAGCTCCAGTGAATGGGAGAGAGCTCAATAAAGTGTAACATCTTTCCTGTACGTTTCCTGCAGGGAAGCCAGGGAGACAGCAAAAATGCCAAGAAAAAGAACAACAAAAAAACCAACAAGAATAAGAGTAGCATCAGCAGAGCTAACAAGAAGAAACCCAGCATGCCAAATGTGTCCAACGACCTGTCTCAGAAGCTCTATGCCACCATGGAGAAGCATAAAGAGGTACTGTCAAAACATGCTGTGTAGAGACAAGAGCCTGTTCGTGTAAATCCAGGCCCTGGGATGATAGTCAGAACTGATGAAAAGTTGGAAGGAGTAAAGCTTGTGATTGCACTAGAGCTTTTTCTGATGTGCAACAGCATGGTGGAAGAGATGAGCTTAAACTAAGTTAATGAGATAACATTTGCAGCATGCCATTACTGTGACAGAAGGGTTGGAAGGGACCTCTGAAGATCATTGAGTCCAACCCCCCTGCTGCAGCAGGAACACCCAGGGCAGGTCACACAGGAATGTGTCCAGATGGGTCTTGGAAGCCTCCAGAGAAGGAGACTCCACCCCCGCCCTGGGCAGCCTGTCCCAGGGCTCTGTCACCCTCACAGCAAAGAAGTTTCTCCTCATGTTGAGGTGGAACTTCCTGTGTTGTCACTTGGTGCTGTTTCCCCTCATCCTGTCACAGGCACCACTGAACAGAGACTGGCCCATACCTGACACCCACCTGCAGACATTACAGACATTAATAAGATCCCCTCCCAGCCTTCTCTCCTCCAGACTGAACAGCCCCAGGTTTCTCAGCCTTTCCTCATATGACAGAAGTTCCAGTCCCTTCATCATCCTTGTAGCCTCCCTTGGACTCTCTCCATCATCTCCCTTTCCCTCTTGAACTGGGGAGCCCAAAAGATGACTTTTTCTCCTGCAAGATCATCTAACCTCATCAATTTGATTTCTTTCCCCCCAACCCCTCCAATTTATCTGCAGGTCTTTTTTGTGATTCATTTACACGCCGGGCCTGTCATTAACACCCTGCATCCCATTGTGGACCCGGATCCTTTGCTGAGCTGTGATTTGATGGATGGGAGAGATGCCTTCCTGACCTTGGCCAGAGACAAGCACTGGGAGTTCTCCTCACTGCGCCGCTCCAAGTGGTCCACGCTCTGCATGTTGGTGGAGCTGCACACCCAAGGGCAGGACCGCTTTGTCTACACATGCAATGAGTGCAAACATCATGTGGAAACAAGGTGGCATTGCACTGTCTGTGAGGTGGGTCTGCATCACCAGATACTTCTCTCTCTAGCCCTACAGCCAAGCTTGGTTTATTTTTGTGTGGGTGGCCCAAAGTTCCTCCAAATTGAGTTTATCCTGGTAAAAGGGCTGCTGAGCCTTAAGGGAAGGTGACTACCACAGTGGGGTGCCTCTTCTAGGGTAAGTGCCTTTAGTTTCCCAACATGGCAGAAGCCAGTACTCAGGAATGGCTGCTGCTGTGACATTTATTCCACTATGGCTCCTCTGTGTTAGTTTTATAACTTAATATCAAAGAATCACAGAATTACCTTGGTTGGAAAAGACCTTCAAGGTCATCAAGTCCCAACCATCAGCCCAACACTGACAAGTCCTTAACTAAATCCTATCCCAAAGTACTTACATCTGAACAACTCAAATCCCTCCACGGATGGTGACCCCACCACTGCCCCGGGCAGCCTGTTCCAATGCCTGACAAACCTTTCAGTGAAGAAATTCTTCCCAACATCCAACCTAAAGCTCCCCTGGTGCAACTTAAGGCCATTCCCTCTTGTCCTGTCACTTGTAACTTCACTGCACAGCCCGATCCTCACCTCTTTACAGCCTCCTTGCAGGCAGTTCTGGAGAGTAAAGAGGTCTCTCCTTGGCCTCCTTTTCTCCAGGCTGAACAATCCCAAGTCTCTCAGCTGCTTCTGATAAGACTTGTGCTTCAGACCCTTCCCCAGCTCCATTGCCCCTCTCTGGACACACTCCAACACCTCAATGTCCTTTCTGTCATGAGTGGCCCAGATCTGAGCACAGTACTCAAGGTGCAGCCTCACCAGTGCCGAGTGCAGTGGTACTGGATGGCAGGGTGTGACTGCCAGACTGGTCTGGATCGCCAGGGCACCAGGTAATCCACATCAAATGATGTCCAGGAGAGAAGCTGTCATGCTTTCCTGCAGGTAGTTGTTGTTCCACTTTATATGTGGCACTTGGTGCTGCATGAAGCACAGCCAGGCTGGGTGAGGAGCCTGCTGGGCCCTTCAGCCTGGTTCCCTCAGCCCAGCATTAGTGTTACCTGCCCTTCACATCAGCCGTGGTAATTGCTGCCTAACCTGCCTTGATGCTTTTAATGACTAGTCCTATAAAGCACAGATCCCTTCCCATGAACTGTGTTAGAGAGCAACCCTGCATGGATTTACCTGGCTGGACTCAAGTCGATGGTAACCTCTAAGGGAGCTTGTGGTGACCTCTGGCTGTAGCAGAACCAAAGAAGATTTTTAATAAGGGCAGCCTCCTTTTGACACTGCAAGTTAGTTCCACATTTGTGGTGGAAGAGCCTTAATTAATCCCTCTGAGAGAAGCATTGAACAGTCTTGAGGCAAGACTGTAGGAAATGGATCGTACACACAAAGGGAATTGAGTGGTGGAAGGAGTTATGGCCTTTCTGCTGGGTACTTTTGTGACAGGGGGTGTCCTTCCTCCAGCACAAAGGGACAGGGCAATGAAAATGTGGCTTCAGATCAGTGTGAAGTTCACACTTGATTTGAGGGTTGGTTTAGAGATTTAAAAAATAGAGCTAAAATAGAGATTTAAAAACTTTCAGGGTGGCAAATATTAGCCAGTAATTACACTAAGAAGAGCCAGATGGAGAGCCAAGCCCTGGTTTCGAGGCTTCTCTTACTAGTTGGAGGTTTTGGCCCTCTCTGTGTGCAGGTGCCTCAGGAGACATCACAGAACAGTAAACAGCTGCTCTCGTCAAAAGGGAAAAATGAAAAAAACCCAAATCCTACAAGACTTTTTCATGTAATAAAGGCACAGTTGCAGCCCCTGCTCATGTTGTTTGCCCAAGATTTATGATTGCAGGGCAGCAGCTTCAATGAGCTGCCCAGCACCCCAGAGTCCCCCTGCCCTCCATGGAATTCAAGTGGTGGCTCCTCATAGCACGTGGCTGTTGTCCTGCTCTTGTTCCATGTGTTGGTACCTGCTGAGACCCCAAAAGGTGCTTCCACAGCAGGCTCCTGCTGGTCACCTAGCACTGCTCTTCCTGACCTCTGGCTTCTCTTTGCTTTCAGGACTACGACCTCTGCATTAACTGCTACAACACTAAGAGCCACGACCACAAGATGGTTAAGTGGGGCCTGGGTCTGGATGACGAGAGCAACAGCCAAGGAGAGCAGCAGTCCAAGAGCCCCCAGGAGTCGCGACGACTGAGCATCCAGCGCTGCATCCAGTCCCTGGTCCACGCCTGCCAGTGCCGCAACGCAAACTGTTCCCTGCCATCCTGCCAGAAGATGAAACGGGTTGTCCAGCACACCAAGGGCTGCAAGCGCAAGACCAACGGTGGCTGTCCGGTCTGCAAGCAGCTCATCGCCCTCTGCTGCTACCACGCCAAACACTGCCAAGAGAACAAATGCCCCGTGCCATTCTGTATCAACATCAAACACAAGCTCCGCCAGCAGCAGATCCAGCACCGCCTGCAGCAGGCTCAGCTCATGCGCAGAAGGATGGCCACCATGAACACCAGAAACGTGCCTCAGCAAAGTTTGCCTTCTCCTACCTCAGCAACGCCTGGTACCCCCACGCAGCAGCCAAGTACACCGCAAACGCCGCAGCCTCCTCCCCAGCCCCAGCCTTCCCCTGTAAGTATGTCACCGGCTGGCTTTCCCACTGTGTCCAGAACTCAGCCCCCCACCACCGTGTCGACGGGAAAACCTGCCAACCCGGTTTCTGCGCCCCCGCCTCCGGCGCAGCCCCCGCCGGCCGCCGTGGAAGCGGCTCGGCCCCGG